TTATTTTCTCCACAACAAATGGCCAAGCAAGCGCAGACACTGACAAGATACGCGATACAGAACGAGACCAAACGCGATATCAGCATGTCTCCACACAGTAAACAAAACAAGTGTTTCCTGGGAACGATAACTGCACTAAACACTAATGAGACAAGTAAATACACTTACGAGCTGCTTTTAACTTCCACTGATAAATACTGCTTCTCTCAAAGACTATTTCTTTACACTGTTTTCTGCTGGCGCTTGGACACACTTTCCTTATTTTCTCCGCAACAAATGGCCAAGCAAGCGCAGACACTGACAAGATACGTGATACAGAACGAGACCAAGCGCGATATCAGCACGTCTCCACACAGTAAACAAAACAAGCGTTTCCTAGCAACGACAGCTGCACTAAACACTAATGAGACAAGTAAATACACTTACGAGCTGCTTTTAACTTCCACTGATAAATACTGCTTCTCTCAAAGACTATTTCTTTACACTGTTTTCTGCTGGCGCTTGAACACACTTTCCTTATTTTCTCCACAACAAATGGCCAAGCAAGCGCAGACACTGACAAGATACGAGATACAGAACGAGACCAAACGCTATATCAGCACGTCTCCACACAGTATATATATATATATATATATATATATATATAGCAAAGGAAAATGCAATACTCTGTTAATGGTTTAATCTTAGGGCATCTGTAATTATAACCTCTTTATAGGTTGTTTCCTAGTGGAAAACACTTTTATTAGAACAGAATGGAGTCGTTACACTATATTCATATCGATCGAGTGATGGTGATGACAACATAAAGCAGACAGATGAACCTGTGCCTCTATACATGTTAAGAGATAAACACATTCAGAGCAGCTGCATGTTTGTTGGATTTATTAGCGCTGTTTGACAGTTCTTCTGTGGGTTGATGCCCTACTTTTCAGCTTCTGATTTCTAACAGCCGTGTTTTGTGTGCAGCACTGCTGTGTGTTCACTTTGGACGGGTTAAATGCAGAGCACTAATTCCAAGTATGGGTCACCATACTTGGCCACATGTCACGTCACTTTCACTTTCAAATCTCGGCCAAATATCGTCCTATCCTAACAAACCATACATGGAGAGCTTATTTATTCAGCTTTCAGATGATGTATAAATCTAAACTTTGAAAAATGAACCCGTATGACTGGTTTTGTGGTCCAGGGTCACATAGTGAAGCATGTCATATGAAAACATGTATACTAGACAGGATTTTTACTGTTACTGTACTAAAATACATTTTGTCTTCCTTCCAACAACCTGTCAACTCACATGAGATCCAACTATCCAATCAGTTCCCGATGGAAAAATCAAGTCGCGCCTAAATAATTTTCAGTTCTAGAAGCCATTTACTAGCATATCGACAGAGATGGCAGCCAATTAGTGTAATGAATCACTCAAGACGCTTAGTGAAACCTCATTTCAATATGTCAAAATACAGGGCGACCCACAACCATGTATAATTAAAACATTTTAAATAGAAAACTCTTTTGAGTACAGTCTTCATCTCATGTCAGTGTACACCATTCAGATGACTCTTCACAAATCACAATTTATTAATGTGCAAAACCTTTTAAATTAGCAACAAACTACTGAATGCAGCTTTTTATTAGTGTGATACCATCTATATCGGCCATCCTGCTTTCTAAGATACGAGTCGACCACTATCAGAGAACAGATATGGCTGAAGTGAGTATTTTGATTTTCTAATATCCATTCATTAGGTGCAACTTAATAACCATGTAATACAATGACAATATCACTTCATTTCAGAAACCAATGGACTTTAACACACATTGACAATAACGTACCACCCTCTGGTGGCTGAAGTGTGACAGAATCTCAACCCTAAAAATAACTGTCACTAAAAAACCTTATTAGTCTTTCCTTAAATCCAAGGTGAAGTGAACCAGAAACACAAATCATAATACCCAAGTCATGTGGTGTAGAAAGTCTTTTCACATACTTTTATTTCCACAGTTCTCCTCTAACATTTTTTTTTTTACATTATTTAAGAACAGACTGTTATACACAGATATTGAAGCAGGTCAAGGGAGGGGAGGTGAACAGAACAGAACCCAATACAAAATGGTCTACTCAAAGCACAACGAAATGCATGTGTATAAAATAACATGGGAGTGCGGCGCACGTGCGACGACTACCACCAACTCGATTTCTTGTTATTCTTCGTCTTTTAAATAGATTAATAAAAATACAATCTTTTCATGGACCATGAGGAAACTGCAAAAATTTGAGGGATCTAAAGGCGTGATGATGGTTGGGCAGTTTTTCACAGAGGGCAGCAAGTTCTTATTCTTCTAAAACAAGTGGCCAGGTTTGAATCAGCTTCTGATTTCTAACAGCCGTGTTATGTGTGCGTGTATGTAGATTGATGCCGAGCAGCCCCCAGAAGATGTCTTTGAGCAGATCTGCCTCGTCTTGGACTCCTGCTAGAGAGCTTGGACTCGCACTGCCCCCTGGAGGACAAAACCATCACCTATAGCCCCACTGCAGACTGACTTCATGTTACACACCACAGTTCATCACATATACACACACACACACACACACCTGCGATTACAGCTTCTGTATGGCACATCCACTTGGAAAACTACCAACCAGCAGCTGGCACCCGTTCATTTCACACCATCGTCGTTCACTGTAAATACCAGCTCAATAAATCAACAGTGTTTATCTCTTGGTATTGAACCTGTATGCTTAAGCTAGCTTTCAGCTCCATAAAACACAGGGTTATTTACGACAGTCTGGTGCCGTTTCTGTGTTTTTGGACTGTCGTTCAGTCAGTATCCTTGAGCACTGAAATCAGCAAAACTGATAAGCATGACAGACTGGCCACTGGAGAGCCTTTTTATATTTTAACTTCATGCTTTATATCGCGCTAAGCATGCAAGAATAGTGATTTATTGTATAGTTGAAGCAGAAATAAATGAGCTGGAGAGAGAAACGTTTTGAATTTCACAGTCTGGCTTTCACAAGTGCAATGAATGGATGATTTTCACAACGAGGTCTGATAACTGTATTCGTCCTTATCAACCAGAGTGAAATAAAGACATTTCATATGTTTAATGGTTTTATTTATTTTTTTCTTTAAAAGCAGTAGCTATGAGATGTTTTCTTTGTGGTTAAAGGAATAGTTCACCCGAAAAAGAAATGTGCTTAAAAATGAACTTACCCTTGGGCCATCCAATGAGTTTCTTCACTGCAACAGATTTGGAGAAATTTAGCATTATTACTCGCTCGCCAACGAGTCGTCTGCAGTGAATGGGTGCCGTCAGAATGAGAGCTGATAAGAACATCACAGTAATCCACACAACTCCAGTTCAACTTGTGAAGTGAAAAAGCTGCGTGTTTGTAGTAAGGCCATCATTAAGATGTTTTTAACTTCAGACTGTTACTAAAATATGACTCCTATCCATAATACGGTTTTCTCAAGTGAAAAAGTTGTGTCGTCTGAATAAGGAGAGAAATATATACAGATCAAGCGCCATTTAGTAGCAAAAACAGTTATTAATAAATATGTGGGTAGATTTTAATGTGAGAGGACATCGGAGGGTGAACTTTTTCAGTGGAGGAAATGTTATTATGGACTAGTATTTTGTGATGCTTTAAAATTATGGATTTGTTCATTACAAACATGCATCTTTTCACAAGATGTTAATTGATGGACTGGAGTTGTGTCTACCACCAACTCGATTTCGTTATTCTTCGTCTTTTAAATAGATTAATAAAAATACAATCTTTTCATGGACCGTGAGGAAACCGCGAAAATTAGAGGGATCTAAAGGCGTGATGATGGTTGGGCAGTTTTTCACAGAGGGCAAACGTGCCACGAGTTCTTTATTTTCTTCTTCTAAAACAAGTGGCCAGGTTTGAATCGACTGGACAGGGAAGAAAAAAAAAATGGCACACGGCAACTACCACTGGCTACTTTTCACCATATATTTGAATACTCCACATGATCAACAACAGTACACATTGAGAAAAGAAAAGAAGGCTCTCCACGAGCGCAGAGAGCGCTATAACGCCTTCCGGATCTCAGCTGGTCTTCTCCGTGTTGTAGTGCTTCGAGGTTTGGGAACCTATTGGGTTAAGTGGAGTGGCTTTTTTAATTCGGCATAATTTAAAAAACAAGAAATGAACGTAAATAAAGTGACAACATCATCGTAAGAGGAAACAAAGAGCAGCTTCTAGTGAAAATGGTAGCCCATGGCAAGAGACACGTATGGGGTCTGTCAGCCGGGATTTTTATTAACCCGTTTCGAGTTGTGAGCGAACCTCCTCGATTGGTTAAAAACCTGGTATGAATCAAAGACGACAGTCTCAGCACCAAATTAATTTCCTTGTACTCCCGTCTCACGAAAAGAGCTCACACACGAAGCCTCACTTATAAATATTTCAACTACAGACGACATTATGCACTTTAACGCGAGCCCAACCCCGCTCCCGCCGATGAATCCAGAGTCGCGCGCTCCTCTGAGAGGTGCGTCACTGACGCCCGTCACTCAAACAGCGGAACAAAGGGAGGCGTCGGGTTGCCTTCTAAATGTCCAGGGATTGGGAATGTCGGTGTGCCTTTTCTTTTGTTCGTTCTTTCCTCTCGTTTCTTTTGATTTGAGATAGTGTTACTTGACGAGACCTAGTAAGGTTTGACAACCGCGGCAGAGTGTTGCCCCCTCCCTCCCACGAACCCTTGGTGAGCAAGTGATGTAATGCTAAATTTCTCCAAATCTGTTTAGATGAAGAAACAAACTCGTCTACATCTCGGATAGCCTGGGGCTGAGTACATGTTCAGCACATTTTCATTTTTGGGTGAACTCTTCCTTTATAAGTATGTGTGGGTATGAAGGTGAAAAACGGTGTTGCAAGCAGTTTTCTCTAGCAGCACCAAAATTAGCATATATGTGACCTGGCAGGGAAGTAGTTGGGGTCCAGGTAGTTGTAGCCTGTGCTCTGCGGTAAGCAGTAGTCTTTGTCCAGGAAGGTTTCGGCCTGGCAGACTGGCTCCAATCTGTGTGTGGACTTGTGGGTCTCCGTTTTGAAAAAACTGAAGGGGCAAACAGAAAGGTGATTGTTTAGGATGAGACTGCCGTGCCAACTGACCATACATGCGATTTACAGGGGTTAAAGCAAAAAAAATAATATTTTGACTGAACATTTTTCCTCGGCCAAACCCCATTCCACAGCCATACCCGTCACACACCCAGTTTAAGAGCAGTGTTTTTCTTCTTGTAATTAGGAGCGCTTGTCCTCCTAATTAAAAAAATGTAGGAGCACCTTCTAAACAATAATAAAAAATTCTGATCAAGAATTAGCCTTCCAAATACGAGCTGACATTTGACTCAAAGTGATTTCAGGGGCGGCATTTTCTTTTTACCTTTGTAAATGCATTTTTCTAATTTGATTAAATGTATGCAGTGTTTCTTCTAGGATTTCTTTTCAGCTGTGGTGGCAGGACTATTTCTCATGGACCACACACCCTCCCCACCCAAGAATCACGTGCACTCAGAATTGAATTTATTTTAACTAAAAAAGACAAGTAAATAGTAAATAATAAAATAAGAACAAATAACTGAATGACAATCAATAGCACAAACAGGCGCTTGTCCTAATTTAAACAATTTAGGAGCACCTTCTGATCAATAATCAAATTCTGATAAAAAATTTGCCTTCCTAATACGAGGGGACATGTGACTCCTTAAAATGGCTTACAGGGGTATTTTCTTTTTACCTTTGCAATAGCATCATTTTCATCTGTCAATTCAACAATTTATGTTTATAAGCTTTTTAAAATTACTATTTGAAACAATATAATAAAAAGTAGAATAAGACAAATAAGTTACCAATCATATGAAATTAGTATTAATAAAAAATTTATTTGTACTACAGAGGGTGCACAGAAGAACACAAAAGTGGCTTGAAGGTGCATTTTCAGACATTTAATGAGGCTCAGAGGTGGCATGAGTGCAAATAAATTAATAAATTCATGTGGAGATTAATGTTTTAAATATAACATTTTGAATACAGAAATAAATTATTTAAATAACTGAAATTATACCTAAAAATGAAACTGAAACCGCCAGCAGGTGGCGGCAAGTCACTGATTTTATCACGGAATCATTCATTCAATTGATTAGTTCGAACAGCTGATTCATTCAGGAATGAAGCAAGTGACTGTCTTTATGAATGGGTAATCCTGAATCACTGACTCACTAGATTCGTTCAAAAACGCACTTTCATTCATGAATGAAACACCGCTGTGTTTGCTTTTAGAGATGCGCAGCGGCTGAGCTGTTACTTTATTTGGAACTATTTTCGTTGATGAAATAGAGCAAAATCAGGCAGTACTTGTTTATTGAACTGTTGTATTAAATCAATATCACATTTGCAAACTCCTTTAATAATTATTAAAAGCTGTCACTCTCCTTATTGCGATCTGTGGGCGCATAGAAATAAATAAATATAAATATAAAAACTAAAATATTGTATATTATATATAACTATGTTGTAATAATATATAATATTGTGCGCCATCTGTCACGCCCACTGGAGTCTCGTCAATAGGTCACGCATGCACTGATAGCTCTGAAGTAAACTAACCCTGGAACATAACCTACTCCGGAGCAGGTTATGTTCAGAGAGTAAGTTGCTATGGCTCCTTACATACCCTGAAAGTTACCTTTTTGGAACCAAATGCTGAGTTTATCCGCTTACTTGCCCTTAAACATACCCAGATATGTCACATAACCTGCTTTCTGGAATACCCCCCAAGACTTCAAAAATTAAGTTTTTATGATATTTAAGGTCATGAAATTTGTCTTAAATATCTTCAGTGGTAAAACAAACGTCTTATTTTTGGGGATTTGAACAACATGAATGGTGATACAGCCTAATGTGATTATTAAACCTCAAAGGGCTATGATTTCATTAAATGAAATCATGTTTCAAATGGTGCACTGAAGTCATGTCAAAAAGATTGTATTTTTATGCGTTAACTGTACCTTTACACCACAATGTTGTAATTACGAGTGGGAAAAGCCTTGCTCCACTCACCAGTTGGAGCAGGAACTGCAGAAGTCCACGGCGTTGTCCTGTGGACAGTCCTGACAATGCCACCGTACACCCTGGATGGGCTGCATGCCACATATGTCACACTGAGTGAGAATTACATCAAAACATGAACAATGAAAAAAACGCTGATTATGAAAGAGCCACATTATATTATACAGTTGTCTAAGAGCCTAAAATACTCATTCTTCATCACTCAGATTTACATGGAAGAGATGGCTTTTATCACTTGCCGCTTTGTTGTGACGTGTCTGGTTAAGCCACAATATTAAAGGGGTCATGTTAAACTTGAGTACCTACATAGTAGTATTGCATCCTTCAAATCTCTGAAAAATCGGTAGTTTTATCAGATTTATAAAAGACAGATACAGCTTTACGCTTCTGTCCTGGAGAAGTGCCGTGGCCGGAGTTAAAGAGTCACGAGCAAGCTAAGCTATTAGGTGTGTTCGACTTGAAGCGGCGCTGCATAGATCGATCAGTGTATGGCATCAAAGTATCGTGAGAGCTATAGAGAGCTGATGGCTCTGCATGCTTTCGAATCGCTCTCGTGGTTCTTTGATGTCAAACACCGATCGATCTGCACAGTGCCACTTCAAGTCGAACACACCTTTTGTGTAGTGATCGTGTGCAAGCTGTGACCTCGACATAAATAAAACAGGAACAAAAACTTTATTGACTTAAATTTTATTTAATTTGTTTATAAAACATTCCTCACCGAAATGCCGATAACAAACAAACACGCTTGCACAACTCCATTGCTGCCCTGGAGAAACAAACTGCATCTACTGTTCCCTTAACGCTGGGCTCTTATACTTTCCGAAACTTATACGAACCCTGAAGGAGTGTATTTGGCACAGAAATACTCCCGTTTTTTTTTTTTTTTACTTTGGCCATGTTTAGCATGAGAATCCAACTCTTTAACAGTGTAAACAAGTCAGAATGCATGAAATAGCATTGGACCTCCCCTTTAAGTTAAAGGGATAGTTCATTCAAAAAAAGACATTTTTGTCATCATTTACTCACTCTAATGTTGTTTCCAAATCTGTAGGATTTTCTTCTGTGGAACATGATATTTTGAAAAAGGTTTCAGTGTTTTTGTCCATTTAGTGAAATTTCAGCATTTTTCAAAATATCTTCTTTTGTGTTTCTCACAATAAAGTCAGTCATACAGGTTTGGAACAACACGAGGGGGATTAAATGATGACTTGATTTACATTTTCAGTAATCAGTGAGACATCACAATGGAAATAGGCAGGTAACAGTGTGTACCTTATAGCCAACATGCTGCGTGACCGCGGTCTCAGCCTGGATCTCCTGTAGTTTCTGTTTCTTGAGTTTCTTCAGCTCCAGTAGCTCCTTATACTCCGGCAGGTGCCTCAGCTCCACTGGAACCCCATCCTCATCCTGAAACATCACAGCAGGGTCAGAACAGTACAACACTCTTCACCTCATCAGCTGTCACTGCTACAAAGGCCTATTTATACTTATTATATAGTCTGAATTTTTAGCACAAAATCTCATCTTTAAAAACTACTCCGCAATGAGTCTGGAATATTATACTTCAATGACCCAATTGTTTTTTTTTGTTTTTTGTTAGGGTAGGTTGAGGCTACATTTCCTGACCCTGTTCTCCCATTATTTCTCGTCACAACATGAAAATGTTGGCGTAAAAATAAATAAAAAATTAAAATTTGACAATTAATTCAAGTATTATCAGACACATTTTTCCCAAATATTATAGTTATTTGGGAAAAATGTGTCTGATAATACTTGAATTAATTGTCAAATTTTAATTTTTTATTTATTTTTACGCCAACATTTTCATGTTGTGACGAGAAATAATGGGAGAACAGGGTCAGGAAATGTAGCCTCAACCTACCCTAACAAAAAACAAAAAAAAACAATTGGGTCATTGAAGTATAATATTCCAGACTCATTGCGGAGTAGTTTTTAAAGATGAGATTTTGTGCTAAAAATTCAGACTATATAATAAGTATAAATAGGCCTTTGTAGCAGTGACAGCTGATGAGGTGAAGAGTGTTGTACTGTTCTGACCCTGCTGTGATGTTTCAGGATGAGGATGGGGTTCCAGTGGAGCTGAGGCACCTGCCGGAGTATAAGGAGCTACTGGAGCTGAAGAAACTCAAGAAACAGAAACTACAGGAGATCCAGGCTGAGACCGCGGTCACGCAGCATGTTGGCTATAAGGTACACACTGTTACCTGCCTATTTCCATTGTGATGTCTCACTGATTACTGAAAATGTAAATCAAGTCATCATTTAATCCCCCTCGTGTTGTTCCAAACCTGTATGACTGACTTTATTGTGAGAAACACAAAAGAAGATATTTTGACCTTTTTTTTTTTTTTTTACTTTGGCCATGTTTAGCATGAGAATCCAACTCTTTAACAGTGTAAACAAGTCAGAATGCATGAAATAGCATTGGACCTCCCCTTTAAGTTAAAGGGATAGTTCATTCAAAAAAAGACATTTTTGTCATCATTTACTCACTCTAATGTTGTTTCCAAATCTGTAGGATTTTCTTCTGTGGAACATGATATTTTGAAAAAGGTTTCAGTGTTTTTGTCCATTTAGTGAAATTTCAGCATTTTTCAAAATATCTTCTTTTGTGTTTCTCACAATAAAGTCAGTCATACAGGTTTGGAACAACACGAGGGGGATTAAATGATGACTTGATTTACATTTTCAGTAATCAGTGAGACATCACAATGGAAATAGGCAGGTAACAGTGTGTACCTTATAGCCAACATGCTGCGTGACCGCGGTCTCAGCCTGGATCTCCTGTAGTTTCTGTTTCTTGAGTTTCTTCAGCTCCAGTAGCTCCTTATACTCCGGCAGGTGCCTCAGCTCCACTGGAACCCCATCCTCATCCTGAAACATCACAGCAGGGTCAGAACAGTACAACACTCTTCACCTCATCAGCTGTCACTGCTACAAAGGCCTATTTATACTTATTATATAGTCTGAATTTTTAGCACAAAATCTCATCTTTAAAAACTACTCCGCAATGAGTCTGGAATATTATACTTCAATGACCCAATTGTTTTTTTTTGTTTTTTGTTAGGGTAGGTTGAGGCTACATTTCCTGACCCTGTTCTCCCATTATTTCTCGTCACAACATGAAAATGTTGGCGTAAAAATAAATAAAAAATTAAAATTTGACAATTAATTCAAGTATTATCAGACACATTTTTCCCAAATAACTATAATATTTTTTGCCATGACAGATCATTTGAAAATAGTTATGTTACTGTCAGGTAGTAACAACAGAGACGTTTATCTTTTTTGCTCACAAAGGACGCATTTATTTAATGAAAAATACAGTAAAAAGTAATATTGTGAAATATTATTACAATTTAAAGCAACTGTTTTCTATTTTAATATATTTTAAATTGTAACATTTTCCTGTGATGGGAAAGCTTAATTTTCAGCATCATTACTCCAGTCTTCAGTGTCACGTGATCCTTCTGAAATCATCCTAATATGCTGATTATCTGCTCAAGACATATTTCAGACAATTACCAAAGTAATTTTTGTAAAACTCGTGATACATTTTTTTTTTTCAGGATTCTCTGATGAATAGAAAGTTCAAAAGAACAGCATTTATTTGAAATGAAAACCTTTTGTGACATTATAAATGTCAATTTTGATCAACTGAATGCATCCTTTCTGAATAAAAAAAATACGTTGTGTCATTTTATTACTGCAGGCAGTATTATGTATGATCACCACAATACAGGGTTTCCCATACATTGCTTTTTTTGTGGCACCCGCCACAATATCAACACTTACCGCCACAAATAGATTTTCCAAAAGGCTTTGACTTCGTTGAATAAACATGTGCACTGTTTCAAAATCAAAACGCGGCACAGTGTTTTTATATGAATGTATCTTTTTTTAAGGGAACTGATTGTCTACAGAAAAATTTGATGTAATTTTCATTTAATCTTTCCTATAATGCCCGATAAAGTAGCGTTCATGAGTGCAGCGCTGCTTTGATTACAGCCGTTACCGGAGAAACCGCTATTTCTATCGCTCCAAAAGCACCTCCTGCTGGCAGAGAATGAATTTGCACTTTCAATAAGCCCATCTGCTGTTTTATATTGTAAGTGTAAGTCTGTGGGAAACACTGCAATATAATACAAATCAACATTGCAATGTGATAATGACAATTAAAATGGGTTTAGATTATTGACAGGAAAAGCTCAATTTCTAATATTTCCATGCAGGCTTTACGTGTCATGATTTGTAGTAACTCTATATTTGGTGCATGTAAGGTTCACTGATGCTTGGCAACGCGCGACTGGTTATGTTCTCTGCAGGGTCCGCTGACCAGTGTCGCGTAAAGGTTACATATCAGAAGCAGAGAAAATGTCAAGCCACTGCAGTCAGTTCACAGTCACTCAACACACAGCTCTCTTTACACAGTTCAGCTCAGGAGACGCAAACATCGAGTCGTCTCTAATGATTTTGGCAGCGGTGTCTGTCAAAAGGCAGCTCATCATTATCAAATGATCAAACATCAAGCAAATCCCAACTGTGGAAATGCCAGTTTGCGGTCTTTAATGGATTTCCTGTTTGAGAAAGGCCATCAAATGTTTGCTAGAGGGGAAGATAGGAAGTCGCTATGATAAAACAAAAGAATTTTGAGAATTCTAAATAAGAATTTTTCATCAATCGCTTTCAGGTATTTATTTTTCCGTTTTCAGCTTCTAAATCAATTTGCTTGAATATGATCTGATAAAATGCTGTGGCTCTCACTGGTTCAATCATACATGCATTTCTCTGATGATTAGTGACCCGATCAATAAAAGCCCACCCTGAAGATTTAGTTGGACTTGAACTATGAGATCTTAACCAGGACTGACCGAATCATCTGCTTCATTATCCTGGAGGCTGTTGAAGAAGTGTGAACGTTCGTCCTCGTCATCCATGTAGACGGGCGGCTCGTATGAGGTGAGGAACGTCGAGGGCCTGTACAGGTGTTTATTGAGGTGGTGCTGTCGCTTACTGGAGGGCTGCAATTACAAACAACATGTCCTGTCAATAAATATGCACTGATAAAGCATTTTAAATAACTAATGGTGATGCCTTAATATATTAAATTAATACATATACACTACAGTTCAAAAGTTTGGGGTCAGTGGGATTTAAATAATAATAATAACAATGTTTATTCAGCACAAATTCATTAAATTGATTAAAAGTGACAGTAAAGACATTTCCATTGTAAGAAAAAAATATTTCAAATAAATGCTATTCTTTCTACAGAGCCTGAAATAAAATGGATCATGGTTTCAACCGTTATCAACTGTGACAATAACAAAAAATGTTACTTGAGCAGCAAATCAGCATATTATAATGATTTCTGAAGGATCATGTTACACTGAAGACTGAAGTAATGATGCTGAAAAAACAGCTTTGCATCACAGGAATAAATTACATTTGAAAATATATTAAAACAGAAAAAAAGATGTTTTAAATGTAACAATATTTCACAATATTACTATTTGTACTGTATTTCAGATTTTTTTTTTTAAATACAGACTTCAAAAACATTTAAACATCATACCAACCCGACTTTTCAACAGTAGTGTATGATTATAATATTTTTTAAATATATATTACATTATATTATACATTTAAAAAGACCAATTTACCTTTTTACTGTACATGCACACATTGGGTGTTCTGCCTGGTACTGGAATACCAGCTTTTGTCAGTTTAATGAAATATTTCTGTACCCTGCTAGCAACCTGTAAAGTAGAGGAACAAAAACGTAGTATACAAAAAGAGCTGGCCCTAAATTCAGTGGTTGAGCTTTCCTACCACAGCTTAGATGTTAAGACTCTTGTCTCATTAGTGAAGAAACCTCTTTAAATAATAGAGAGCCTCCATTAAAAGAGGCTGTAAGGATGTTAATTGCCTGACTGTTTTAGTGAGCAGCGAAAAGGTGACTAGAGATCTCAATGCCCATCAAGACCGAAAGAAGATCAGCTTCAGAGAGTGTGACTGTGTAGAGCGGGGCCTGAAGACGCACCTGTTTGGCAGTCCTGTTGCCAAGTTCATCTGCGACCTTCTGCCAGCGTTTAGACTCAACCTCCTCGGGTGGAAACTTCAAGAGCAGCTGCTCCAACTTTTTCTAAAAGTTTCACATACAAGATGTGATGAGCAGACTGACAAACCTTACAACTCAAGAGCTACACAAAATGGTAAAATGTACATACATTCTATTTATATCATAAATTAGCTTATATCAACAATTAGCTTCAGTCCACTAATTTTAATGGAGAAGTAGCTTTATTAGAGTGGTACAAGTGTTCGACATTAAACTTTTCTCAGATGTTTGTTCATAAAAGGCTTCAAGTTCATGGCCACTAAGAGCTCTTGTGTAGCTTTATACCTGCTCCTCAATGGTCCACAGCTGGTTGAAGGTGTCAGGTTTGTTCTGGTCGCACAGCCTCCCTCTGATCATCTGCACAAACATCATTCAGAAAACGTTAACATCAGCACACAGTTCAAAACCATACATGGACATTAACTTTTGTTTCCCAAGACTTTAGTTTAAATGTGAAAAAGGAAAATTTAGAAACTTTAAAAAAATTGTGTAATAGCTGGGTTCCAGAAGCAAAAACACCATTCATTTTCTCCATAGGGAAATTTCTAACGATAACTTACATAATTTAGACAAACCCTCCGAGGCTGTTAATCGATGGTATGCACTTTTGTTGAAGCCATTTATCTGCATTATTTTAACTTTTAATTTACAACTTAAAGTTTTTGAAATAATTGTGTTTAACAGTGGAATTCAACATACAAACTACATTACCAATGATGCTGTATAGAAAATTCCACCAATCAGAGAGTTGCGGCAAGTAAGGGTGCTCCGATCAGGAATTTTTGGGCCGATCACAGGAAGCAGTATCTGCCGATACCGATACCAACCTTTTTGAAGCCTTCTTTTTTTTAAATGTAAAATCGTTTATAGTGATGCTCCAGTCAGAATTTTTACAGACATACATTCAGGGCCTGTTTTTCATTTTTGAAAATGGGGGGAATTCCCCTCTTAGGTGACTCTTGTGGAGTGGGGGGATTTTTTAATTTGAGGGGGGCATTTTTTTTTTTTGACATTTTGCAAAAATATATA